GGAGACGCGCGGCCTGGCCCAGGCATGCTGCCGTCCCGGTTTCGGCGTGTGGTTAATCGGCCGTGGCTGACGCGCTCGCCACCTCGCCTCGTGTGCCGCGAGGCGCCATGCAACGCGGGATACATGCGCCTCCGCCGGCCGCATGCCGTTGCATTGTGGCGGGCAGAATGCGCGCTGCCAGAGCTACATTCAGCCGCACCTTGGATGTGCGAGAGCTCCTTTATACGCTTTAATTCTCCCCCTGTAGGCCTCTCTGCCATCTGCTACTTTCTTTTATGGATTTCCCCACTATTTCAGGGAGACCCCTTAGGCTATAGAGCTCACACACCAAGCAGCAGCACAATGGAGAAGCGACTACCCTCCTCTTCCTCTCAGGGGTCAGGCTACTTGAAAAGGTCAGCTGCACCCCCTCCTTGGCTTCCCCCGTCATTTTTTTTTTTTTTGGGGGGGGGGGGGGGGGAGAGACCACCAAGAGGTCTCCTTTTGTTTTGCTGGACTTCAGGACCGTGAATCGTCAAGCTGCTCTTAGGTCCTGTGCTTATTTGCACACGGAGCACAAGTCGTGTAACGAAATGTGTTAGCGCTTAGACATCCGTTCATAATTATTTGTTGTGGGGTCATTCAGCTGCTCGATTACTGATCTTTGCAGTAACTCGTATGTCAGTGGAATTGAGTACGCAGCAGTTTCAATTTCAGTTTATTCATCTTCAGTGTCCCTATATAAAAATTTGATTAGAATATGAATTATTGTTTTATATAATAATTGTTGGTTTTAACCATATAAGGTGAGTGTTTTAGTCTCCCGTGAGAATGACTTGTGCATGGTTTTCTGTGTAAAGGGATTTACTGCTGACAGACCATGTTTTAAGGTCCTTATCTGCTCGTCGGAAAGTTCTGGAAGCGTTTAAATGTGAAGTTCAGAGCCCTCCCATAAAGGCTGTTTTTGAAAGCTTGAATTAAACTGCGGAATGGAACGTTAATGAACAAAACCTGAATGTGACTTGCCACAAAAATGTATAGACTAAAGTAATACGAGAAATCCCTTCACGAAGTCACAGAACTGACAAAACAGTTCTACATTAATATAGGGCCAATTTCATTAGTGGTTTTCTCAGGTGATGTCAATCCTGATGGAAGCTGAGTAGAATACTGGGTGTGAAGCAATATTAGCTACACAAAGCCATGCACCGATTGCATTTTCCTTGGTCAGTCTCAATATATAGTATAGTATAATATAATTAATTATTATTATTGATAAGCCTGACCTGCCAATACTTATTCAGGCCATTTCCATTTTAGTTCCGACTTAGTTTAATAAGAATTGGCACATGAAGATTTTTTAATACTCCTTTGATGCACTTTGCTTTCTGCAGGGAAAATATTTTAAATGAACTTTCAAAATGAAAATGGCTCCGCACGTGTCGAATAAAATCGGTCCTTTCAATTCTTTTTGAGGTACTTCCAGGAGTTCGCACGTCTTACACACCAACGTCTCTGTCCCACACCGTAAAGAATCTCCAAACAACGGACATTTCGCATAAGTGTTTCACCTCGTCTATCATACAACTTTAGTGGGGGGAGGGAAGGTGAAGGACAGGGGACATGACTGTGGATGGAAACTGAGTTGGGACAACATTAGTTGGTAAACTAGTTGATGGGCTCATTAAATTGCCCATATTTGGACTGATTGGCTGATTGCCGGTCAGCACCAATCAGGATGAAAATCGGGCATTTCCAGTCGCTGGCCAATCAATTGGTGCATCTTCACCTGTAACGCACACTAAAGTTCTCCCTCCAGTGATAGTTTGTGCTTTGCTTTGCTCTCAACAATCTGGTACATTTTGCTGCATCACATAGGCAATAGTTTTCTGCTGCTATATATGGAAAAGCTGTACATACTGTTAATATTGCAAGATTCTCGAGTACAGGTTGTTTCTGTGTTGGCAGACATTAACCGTAAGTTTTGTTTGTGATCCTTTATTCAGTAAAACTTATAACCATATCATTGTGAATTACAGACCCATATTCCTTGAGGTAAATCCAGGAAGCCAGTTAGGCAACATTTAAATTAGCCAGTAATTTCTGTAGAATTTGTATGTGTATGTGGTAGCCTTTTTTTCTTTTACTATTTTTTTGCATAAGTAGTTTGCATAATGTATTTTGTCAGTGCTCTGTGCGTGTGTACACAGTAGGGTATAGAGACAGCCGGACAGTCAAGCTCATTGTCCTCAGTGTTTCCCTTTAGCGGGGAAGCCCCACATCTGTCCGTATTCCTCTTCAAGCACAAGGTTAGTCAGCTTTTCTGCAGTTGTCCTTCTGACTGTCAACGCTACCGTCGCTTTAAGAGATCACGCCCAGACTATACGTGTGCAGTAAACGCTACTAAAAAAAGTAAACTCAAAAGTCATTTTTTTCATACTTAACAATTTTGATTGGTGATCTGGCCTTTCCAAAGAAATGGCTCAGAGTTAGAAAAATTACAGCTCTAAGATATTTTGGGTGAGCTGCATAGTTCTGGTTTTGATTTAACTATAGGGGCATTTGACCTCTTAGAAGGTCTAAATTTAGAGGTTCTTAAAGAATGTAGATATTACGACCTGCCTGAGGCTTTTTCCTAACAAATCTAAGTGTGTTTCGCACAGGTGGAGAGGTGCACTGGCAGAAGCCAGCCTTGGACAGGAAGCTGACCTTTGCTATCACTTTAAGTTCATTTAAGACCCGGTCTAATTTAGAGACCTGAGCTCGATTTCGGGCAGCACTCCATGAATCGAGCTTTGCCCCCAGCTGTGCTACATGGATTGCTTGCTTGTGGTGGTTGGCCACGTTTCTTCATGTGTTCCTGGACGCGATCTGAGTTTTAAGAACAGATGTGCAGTGAGGTGTTGTTAAACTGAGAGGAAAGTTTCTGAGACATCAGTTCCGTTTCATCTCTGCCTTGGACGCCACGTGGAACTTCAGCCAGTCGGCTTTCATCGCCCTGAAAGTGATGGGGGTCGGAGACCTGCCATTGGCTTAGGTCTGCTAGTGAGTTGGGTTTCAACCTCCTGTCCTGCACCCTGTGGGACTATAGAGTGATCACACCACTGGACCAGGCCCTGTGTCCCCTCAGTCTTATTTCTGAAGAGCGTTAATGATCCCAACTTGTGGAGGAAAATGTATATTTACTGCAAGCACTTACACACACTCTAAATGGGTTTGTTTCTAAGGTTTTTTATAAGTGTTAGTGCTCGGTTTAAATCAAAGTGAAAGCATTCAGCACCAGTACAATACCACATGCAGGTTTTGCAAATCCTCACAGGTTAGCAGTAGGCTAATGAAATCGATATTGTAAACGCATGTGGTGTACAGCCTCCAAGTTCCTATCAGGTGATCAGCCTCCGAGTTCCTGAACATTCTCTCCTGTTCTTGATGGCTTCTAGAACCCTGTCGTCAAATTATTATCTTATGTGGATACTGTCAGATGATAATGGTTATAAGTTTTACTGAATAAAGGGTCACAGGCAAAACTTACGGTTAATGTCTGCTAACACAGAAACGACCTTAATATGTGGACCCACTAATCGAGCTAAAACTTTGGCTGCTAGAGCTATTCTCAGCCATCCACCTGGTCATTCCTGGACAGAGAATAGCGACAGATTTTCTGTTCATAGGCTTGATGCAGCTGGTCGGCAGCGCAGGGAACCTCTTCAGAGGCTCAACCTACAGTGTTTCTTTGCTGTGCGAAAAGCCGACTGGCCCTTGAAGAGGCCCCTGCAGTACAGGCTGGGCAGCTGAGCCGTGAAGCTGCTGCTGGTACTATGGGGTGTTACTATGCATCCAGCTCCAGAATGGGGCTCTTTCAGCTTTTAACACCCAGCCGGCTTGAGTAACGTTTAGAATTAAGTGCCAAGTTCCCAGAAAAAGTGAAAACAGGTGATGCTGCTTCAAAGGTCTAAATCCATGTTCTAGCACAACCCACGCTAAATCTCTCGCAGAAGGGCGAGGGTCCCCCCCCCCCCCCCCCATTATGGCATTCAGTGTAAGTGTTCAGGGCGGATGGGGTTGACAGGGGTTATGGAAACGCGGACGCGGGGGTCTGAGTGGATGAGTGGGCCTTATGCCACCCCGTGGCGACGGGAGAGGGGCAAGCTCGCCGGGTGCCGTTCCGTGGCTGGGGCCCGCGCCAATCCTTTATTCTCCGGCACGCATGAACAATCAAAAGGCCCCCTTTCAGCCATTGTGTGTGCCGAGGGCTTCCAATTAAAGCCGGGGCTCCTGCATCCCTGGGAGGGGGGAAAATGATAGCCCTGGGTGGAGCCAGGAAATGATAATGGAGTGTGGAGGCCGATGGGCTGACAAGCCGGCCCTTTGTCCCCCCGGCACAGAGGAGAACAGGCAGAATAAAAGGGCTCCGGGCTCTATGGAGGCCTGAAAGGGCCAGCCACAGCATCTGGCACTGGGCCCTGTCCGTGGGCCTGCTCGCTCGCTCACAAATCCCTGCCGGAGACGACCGGCCCTCTCAGCTTCTTGCGTCCTGGAGAAAGTTGGGACCAAGAAACGTAACCGTAACCTTAATGGGCAGGGCCTGGGGAGATCGGCAAAGCAGTTTCAGCCATTATCTCCCCACATCTTCTGCTATTGTCCCGCTCGGAGATTAGCTCTGGGTCACTTGCTGGCAGAGCCGTCACTGCAGATCTTTAAATTTTTTTTTTTTCTTGGTGGGGAAGGGTTAAAGTAGTCATTTAATTGACCTGCTAGCTCCTCGAAGAAACTGAAAGCATCCTCAGAGCATTCTGGGAAACTTTGGCATCCATGACCTGCAGACGTATGAAGGATCGAACCTTCCTAAAGTGGAGACTGAAGGGCGACGCGTCCTCCCCCAGCGCAGATTTCATACACCCCCATAGGAGCTTTAATGTGAGCTGAAGTTCTGCTAAGTGCATTATACCGTCCATTATTCATCCCTCTTCAGAAGACAGTTTAATGAATAAATCGACAGGTGATGGACCCACTGTCATTGTTGCAGGAAATTCCCACGCCAGCTTACAGTCTGCTTACATCAGGGGCTGCATGCCGGCTTTGGTTGACGAATTACATTTACGTCTTGAAGGTATCTTGTTTCCTTTGGATAGATTCACTGTAACATGTGTCTGACGTCCCCTGTGCCTGCAGACTTTGAAGAACTCCAAAAGCCTATGTTCCCTGGATGACGAGGACCTTCACATGAGGACCATTGTCTCGTCGCCATGTGGCTCCGCTGATGACCTTGTGAACATCATCACTCCTGGCTCCAGCCCTGTCAGAGAGCTGTTGGAGGTGTCGGCCAGCCAGCGGGGTCCGGACCCCCAGCATGATCCACTCCGCCTTCCCCCGCAGCGACCTGGATTCCGCCGGGCCGTGGTCGCGGGTGAGAGCGAGAGTGATGAGGACATCAGTGACACTGACAGCATCGAGGAGAGAATCTTCCCATTGTACTGTGGAGACTTGGATCTAGAACAGATCGAGAAGAACTAAATCTGGAATCCAGAAAGTGGCTGATTGTTTTGTTTTGTTTTTTTTTTTAATTATTAAGGAAGGACATTAAAATATTTTAGGTTACTGGTCGACAGGACTGTCGTTAGCGATTGTATTTTGGAAATATTTTGGATGGGAAAAATTCCAAAAATAACAGGTAGATGGTTTTTTGCATTGTAAACTAGATAGGAGAATAACAGGCTTGTTATACAAGATTAAAAATGGCATTCATTCAGGCTGCTTCTCATGAAATTTCAGGATATAGAATTCAGTTAGACTTTTTGTGGATTCAGACTGACTAATTTAACTGATTTAAATATCACCTGTTGTCTGTTGGGTGCTGGAACATTTCTGATCTGTTATTATATGGTAGTAGTATGTCACTGTTCAAGAGTTCTTTTCAAAGCGGTTTGTGGACTTGTCCCCTGATTCATTAAGCTGGAAGTTTGGTTCAAATAGGGGAAGGTTTGTCTGAAGACCCAGGGTTTCTCAAAATCCTTTTGAGTTCATCCTCAGTTAGGGATTAGTACTATCACTGCTTATCAACATGTGTCCATCTGCCTGCTGTAGACCTCAGCTGAAAAGTGACTGTCTTAAGTGCCTTAAAGGCCAGTGTTAATGCAACCCTATGAATGGCTCCAATACTAACCCCTGTATCAGAGGCCTTAGCAACTGGTAAACTACCAATTCAAATGCAACAAAGTCTACCATTAAATAATGCTTATGGAAAACTTAAACTGTCTTCAATAGGTAAGGGAACATATGCGAATGGACGATTGGACAAGTGTTTAATGCAACAAAAATGATCATTTAGTACTTTGGGTAATTTACACAAAGTGGCGCTTCCAATTAAAATAGCTCTGATTGTTCATTTGCACAACACTCAAAGGGAGTTCCACTACCTGACATTAGATAATTCACTGTGTATAGAAAGGAACATCTCTGCGATGTTTTACTGAAAAATGAGTGTAATACTCACCAGCTCCAAGCATTTCTGTATACATTTTTTTTTTTGCTGAATCAAGTTTTAAATCTTGTCAACACTGGACACTTTCTAAATACAAAGAACAATCTTATATTGCATTTATGCTGAGTGGGGCCTCTCAGAGGATTTGTGGTTCCTTTGACACAATGTCTAACAAAAAATGATCCACTTCTTACCTGTGACAAAGTGAATTTTGTGGTGTACATTCCTACCAAAGGAATCATGTATCATGTAACAGCTTCTGAAAATAACTATTTTGATGGAAGTTCCCTATAAAATGTGTGAAAACCGCACATAAGGTGAATGTTTGCCTTGTCAATGACTTAATGCACACTGTACCTTACAAATGGAAACATGAATTTTAGATGTTGGATTGGGAAGGGAGTTGATATGGAATTTGAGCTGATGCTTGAATAAATGAGTAAGAATGTCTTATGTTTGAGGTTTTCTGTTTAGGTTTTTGTTGAATGTCTTGCAATATTGACAGTGAATTATGGCATTTCTTTGTTTAGGCTGTTCCACTCAAACAAGATCTCCATGATTTTCACTTTGACTTGAGATGTTCCAGTTTCAGCCCTCATTTCAGTCCTAGGGCCTTCTCGGATATCCCATACTTATTGTCCAAATCACTTAGTTAATCAGGGCCATTATGAGAGTTTGTACATGACTAAATGGTACCATCTGCTCTGGTTTCATGCCCACCTGCCTACAGACACTATGTGATTGTGTCTTAAAAGCTAGTTGTGATGTTGGAGCTGGATTATTGTTTTATTCAAAATGTGGAGGGGTGTGTATCTCAGCAGGTTCAGGATTTGGGCCTGTAAGGTAGGATCCGTTCCCGTCACTGCATGGCAGTGATGGACAATGTGTAACTGAATGTGTAACTGTCTGAATGTGTGTGTGTGTGTGTGTGTGTGTGAATCTGCCTGTAGAGATGGACTGTATCTCTGACCAGGGTTAAGGTCCAAATGTGTGCTTGAATCAGCCATTACTGATGGACTGTATCTTTGTCCAAGTTTAATGTCTGAATGTGTGGGAATCGGCCTGTAGTGATGGGCCGTATCTCTGACCAGGTTTGTGAATCAGCCTGTAGTGATGGGCCGTATCTCTGACCAGGTTTGTGAATCAGCCTGTAGTGATGGGCTGTATGGTTGGTTGTTGAAGCCCCTTACTCATCTCCCATAGCTTCCGCATCTGCAGCCTTTGACCTCCTTGCCGTCACACGCTAACCCCGCAGGCCCAGTGCGACGCCATGCGCCAAGCCGTGCTGAGACTTGCCCTTTCCCCCTAAAAAGGGTGCGTCACAAATGCAGACGCACGCCTGCACATGTCCAGCCCAATCTGCATTTCATGTACGAGTCAAACACCCAGCCACAAGCGTGTCCTTTCCTAGCGGTTGTGGCCTTTTCTCTGTCATGGAGCCGAATTTGGCCCTGGTGCTCCGTGGCCCTGGTTAACGATGAGGCCCATTGTCGTGGGCTCTGCGAGGTGGGCGAGCCTCTCAATGGGTCCATTGTGACCTTGGGCTCATTAGCATTTACTACCGGTGGGCGGACGGTTCCGAGTCGGATCTGGGGCCGTGGCCCGGCCTTTCTGCCGGGGCCCGGCCGCCCTGCGGTCCTCCCACACGCCGCGCCCACGCTGCCAGGCCAGACGCATCTTTGCAGTTAGGAGCAGGCTTTCATGCATGGTCTTTCTGAAGTGGTCAGCCCTTGTCTTTGTGGCTAATATTTATGCTTCCACGTCTATAAAATTTCATTCGTCTGAAAGAAATGAGGCCCACAGGGTCTGTGTGTATGTGTGTGTCCTTTTGCAGGTCTGCCAGTTTCCTTTGGTTGTTCCTTTTATAATCCATTCCAAAAACATCTGAACAGCTGCCTCTAAAATATCAATAGCTTATAACAGTATCTAATTTGTGATGATCATTTTATTTCACCATTCATGCCGTCCCCTGCCTTGTGCCCTGTGCTGTCTGGGACAGACTCCAGGCTCAAAGTGACCCTGCAAGAGACAAGCGGTTATGGAAGATGGATGTAAAAAATTAAGTAACTCACACTAGATCCCAGACCATAATCCCAGGCACGGCTGGTTGAGTATTTCACCAGAAGGCCTGATTAATTGGGTTACAAAAAAGACAGATTAGAATTTAAAGTAATATTGAAACATTATGCCCAGCTAGTAGGCTACTGGGCGGTATGAACGGTATAAATGGTATACGATATAAATTTGGCCAACGGGAGAGATTTTGATTATACCGCCCTACCGCAGAAATTTCCGCTCCTCGCCCGCACAAATGACGTAATGAAGTAGCGTCAAATAATAAATAAATTATGATTTATATGAAAATTGTTTATATGATTATTGCTGAACCCGGCAGCAGAGTCCTGCACGGGTCTGATTTTTACAAACAGCACCCGCCCGTACCGTCATACTTAAACCCGTATCCGAACCGTTATCCGACAGAAATAAAATAAAATTCCGCACCCGATCCGTTATAAATAAATACCGACACTCGACCCGCACCCAAAAAAAAATCAGTCAGATTAAAAATTAAAGACAAAAGTTTATTGCCACAACAAACGACCAGTGACGTGCAACATCAGTTGAAAAGGCATAGCCAAATGTAAATGTTGCTTAATAACAGCCTAATAAAAAGCAAAACAAATGGTAGTAGCCTACCTCCAAACTCCATATTGCCATGCCCACACATAGCTTTACCAACTTACAATTAAATGTGTTAATAAAACTAATATTATATAAAATGTACATTAGGCTACCCTGCACAGTAGGCCTATTGGGTTTTACAGGCTACCTACATGCACTGTCCATTTTCCTTTGATTACCCGATTGGAATTCCTACGCGAAGGCGAAGACTAGCGTTTGGTGCGGTGCTATATTACCTTTGTAAAAAAAAGGATATCGTCCACAGTTGATGGCGTCAGCTGACTACTTCAGCATCCATTTCGAACAACTGGAGTAGATCGCATGCGTTTTTTGAAAATGAAAGTGGGAGAGATGTCCGGGAATGCGCGTTCAGGCATAAACTGATATGGATTTTACGTTTTATCATCTTGAATGCAGGGATTTTAATTGTCACTAAAATATAGCCCTAGGGTATTTTTTGTTGGCACATGATGTTTTGAAAACCGCAATTTAGCTCTCCTGCGTCCGACCCGAACCCGTATCCGACACTGTAGAATATTTTTCACCCGTTTCATCAAAATTTGCGGGTCACCCGTCGGGTACCCGAACCCATGCAGGACCTTTATGGGAGAGATGGTCATACTAATATAGATGGAGTTATGACACTAGTCTAGTTCTGTGTCTTCTTTTCTGCTTATACCTATACAGTTTACAAAACCAACCTGTGTTTTTAATATAAGATAAAACCAGTGAAGTTACTTGAAATGTTTTCATATTTTTTCTATAATTGCAGATTTGCACAATAAATATTCTACGTTCATGACTACTTTGAAATGTGTTAACAGTTTATTATACAACTTCCTGCTGCAATGCCTTTGCTATGGACATATATGTTACCCTTTCAAAAAGTTCAAAGTTATTATGTCGCTCTTATAGTCACAAGTTCCAAGTGTCTTGAACACAGATATGTTTATTCACAGCACCTATAAGCACCGCCGTAAACACCGTAGAACTAAAGATATAAGACAAATACAAAGAAAATACATCAATTACATATTCGCTAAAAATAATACATACAACGATAAAAAGTACAACATACCACTTTTGCCTGCTTGTGAGTTAAGAGGGAAGGTTGATACTGAAAGTCCTTGCTAAATGCTTCCTTTAACCCCTTGTGCAGTCCAAGAACTCCAGAGCCATTATGTCAACTTATTAGTCTCCCGCCGGCATACAGGAAATGACGTAGCCTATAATGACCGCAGTTAAAATATAGACAAAAATACTTAATCAAATAAAATTCCTTTTCCATTCTGAAATGTAAACAATATTAAATATAAATATAAAAGAGGAAATTAATCAAAATCAGATAAATCTATTGAAAAAATGGAACCAAATTACAATTTAAAACAAAGTTTTACAACTGTCAGCACAGTTATATTGAAATTTACAGATCAAATCATATGCCGCAATATATACCGTCTACCGTCTATGGTTCAGATTATACCGCAATATGAATTTTATGCCATATTGCACAGCCCTATGCCCAGCTGTGTGACTTATGCTGCCTGGAATAGGCCCTCAGTGAAATGCACTTATGTATATGCATAAATCAGGTCTTCACCTGTACAGCTGATGTAGACCAGTGTTTCCCCACCCAGTCCTCTGGGGACCCCACACAGTCCACATTTTTGCTCTCTCTCAGATCCCAACATGCCTGCACCTGATTGGCTGGAAGTTGGGAGAGAGCTAAAATGTAGAAAGTCTAGGGATCTCCAAGGAATGGGTTGGGAAACACTGATGTAGAGGAAGCCATCTATCCTGGTTATACGTACACTAGAGGAGCAAGGCAGGAAACTGAGCTCGGCAGTGGTTCAGAAGAAAGACCGTACAGTGTGTCCGCATCTGTTAAATCAGGCCAAGCTGGGTTACATAAGGCAGATTGACATCCATTTAGGGGTTCCACTGAAATCTGCCATGACAGCAGCTCAGGCCGGTGACAGCCATAAGGCGGGGCTTGCCGAGGACACCCCAAAGGGGGCATTTCCACGCGGAGGGTCAGGGTTAGTGCCGGGCCCGTGAGCCGTTGAGCGGCGGCTGAATCCCGCAGCATCTGAAGCCCGCTGGGGGAGGGGGGGCAGGTGCCGGCCGGTCCCCCCGCCAGCTGCAGCTCGTCCCTCGCCCGCCCTGGCCCCCGTTATTAACCGTGCTCCCCTCTTTCGCTGAAGCCCAGCACTGCAGAGACTGCATGTGGGTCGCTCATTAGCATAATAATCCAGAGGAGCGTGGGGGTTACTGCCTTCGGCTCTGAGCCACAATCTGCACCCCCTGCCCGGCCCGGCCTCCTGCCCACTGCGCTTAATGGGATTTGCCCTCCGTATGAAGCCCTTGTTTTGGGGCTTAGCGGGACTCCGGCTTCCTGTCTCCCGTTTGTATCCACACGCCAACCTGGCAAGGTGTGCCGCCAGCAGCGGGGCGACCGCATTCCCATAAGCCCCCGCTGCCGTGCGGATGGGGTGCGAGCAGCACGACGAGCGCGTGTTCGCCATCGCATTAACAGCTGGGAAGCCCAAAAGGGGATTTTCTCATTGCCTCCAGCCATGTGGCTACAAAACAGAGAAGTATTGAAGTCAAGCAGGAAAAGGAGTCTAATGTAAATTTATGGACGTCTGAAAATGCTGCTGAGCCAAAACAGATGTAGAGACTTTAAAAAGTTTGAAATGAAAGGTGACAGTTGAGCATTTTGGTGAAAAATTGATTTGATTTATTTCACATTTATTTGAAACTGATTTT